CTTGTTTTTCCTGTAAACTGGTAGTTGGATCTAGAGGCTTAATTAGATTCAAATTTGTATATATATTTGACAGTCTTTCATAGGTGCTGCACGTTTCCTTTTGCATCATATCAGAAGGCACATGATATCTGGCGTGCTTCTTTGATGTTTATTTTGATCATTCAGGTGTTGACAGCCTGATCCGTCTATTACAAAGTTCTCCAACATTTTTCACAGAATGGGTTCTAGCAGTCATTGATGATCGTTGCCTTACATCCATTATTTCATTAGGAGTTACAAAATAGTGTAATTATATCTTTATAATTATATATATAATAATTATATAAATTAATATATAAATATATTATATAATTGTTATATAAATTTTATATTATATTATATAAATTATTATATAAATTATTATATAATATATATTATATATAATTATATTATATAATATATATAATTTATAATTATATAAATTAATGTATAAATATATAATTATTATATAAATTATTGTATAATTATAAAAATTATATAAATATATATAATAATTATATCATTCTTTCTGTGTCTACTTGCTGGAATTCTTCCATAAGGAAAAATTTTCCCTTACCAACTTTTTTGGTTTCCCTAAGATGTACAGGAGAGAGAAGACAAATGCTTCATTCTTTCCCTTTGCTTTGGAAAAACTGAGATGTGTTAGCATCCTTCAAAGGTGGCCAGTGAGTGTGTTTTATATACTTGGATTTTAAACATATTCTCTGTGTTTTAACCTATTTCAGTGAACAATTTGATGCTTCAATTAACCAAACTTTGGCCAAGATCAGCTCCTTCAGTCTGGCTCCTGTGTCCTTTTGACATGACCTCAGTAGCCTTTGATAGCTTATTTACTTTCCTGTCTGAGAAGATGTTACAGGCTGATTCTGTAAATTTCCAGTACCAGCCTTGGAAATGGCCATTTTGCTGAGGAACCCTGGTTCTTTTTAATGGGGTATGTGTTTTAGAGACCATAATCTGTGTACTAGTAATACTCATTGCTACTATGGTAGTTATTGTTAAAAACCTCTTCAGTGGACATTTAAAAATTGGGAGATATATATTTAAGAGAAACATTTTAGATTTATCCTGATATTTCTATATCAAATTTAGTGTGACAGGGCTTTAATTATTTATTTTATGCTTTGATCTTTTTTTTTAAAGCTGAAAATCTTGGCTCCCAATTACATCAGCAGAATTACTTAGTTGCTTTGTGTTTCAAATTACCTCCAATTGGGGCTTCCCTGGTGGCGCAGTGGTTGAGAGTTCCCCTGCCTATGCAGGGGACACGGGTTCGTGCCCCGGTCCGGGAGGGTCCCACGTGCTGCGGAGCGACTGGGCCTGTGAGCCATGGCTGCTGAGCCTGCGCGTCCGGAGCCTGTGCTCCGCAACGGAAAAGGACACAGCAGTGAGAGGCCCGCATACTGCAAAAAAAAAAAAAAAAAAAAAAAAAAAAAAATTACCTCCAATCTTATTACTGACAGTTCAAGAGTTATTTATAGTTCTTTTTGTCCTTAGGATCTATCTCTATGGTGAAATTGCTGTGTTTTAAAGTTAATGGAAATAGTTATTCATGTGATAAGCTTTTCACTGAACACTTTCAATTTTTAGAGATCACTTAAAACTTAAGTAATTTCTAATTATGCAAAGCACTCTCATGGTTCCAAAATGAAAACTACAAAAGCAAAATTACACTTAGAGAAGCCTAGCCTCTTTGGCTGCTCCTCCCTCTATCCCTGCCCTCTCCCACTGGTAATCATTTATATTAATTTTGGATTATCCTTCCATTTAAAAAAGTATCTAAGCAAATACATTCTGCATGTGTATCCCACACTCTTCCTTGGGTAAAATATTCCATACCACACATAGTGCTCTGATGTACTTTGTTGCTTATACCTAATGATTTGGTGGGCGATCACTCTCTGCCAGCTGCTAGGGCACCATTGTGTTGCAGGACCACAGTTCCTTCTACCAGACCCTACTGATGACATGTAAGCTGTACTGAGTGTTTTACTATTACAAACAGTGCTGCAATGGATACTCCTGTGCCTACATCATTTTGCATTTTTGGCAGTGTATATTTGGAATAGATCTCTAGAAGTGGGATTACTGGGTCAAAGATAAATATGTTTTTAATTTTGCCCAATTCCTGTCCTTTGAGGTTATACCTTTTGCATCCCACTAACAATGTATGGTAGGACCTGTTCCCCACCGTCTCATCAGCTGGATATGGCACCAAACTTTTGAATCTTTGCCAATCTGATAGGTAAAAAACGGTATTCCAATACCGTTCTAATTTGTGTTTCTCTAATGAGTGAGAATTTCTCTAGTTATGAGCATCTTTTAATATGTTTAAGAACTGTTACATT